GGGCTAAGGCTCACTTGTTTTCTCCTAAGATGTTTCAGTATATTTACAAATGGCTTTTTTTAAAGGACAGGAAAAAGGTGACTGGGTTCCATTAGACAATTCAGTCAGTGTACTCTCTTCATGTTATTTTTCTTCATGACCCTTAAGGAAGGGGACGGGGCATGAACAGGAAAGGAGGGCCTCCTTCCTTCACCTGCAACCTCAATCTTCAATCTTAATTCTGGGTCAGTTGGAGGCCAATCCAACCTCCTTCTGGAATCCTTCAGTATTCTCCCCTATAAAAGCTGGGCCCCAAAGCAAGGAGCTCTAAGTAGACAACCACCAAGTTGGCATATAAATCCAGGCCTTCAAAAAGGTGCTGAGGCCGAGATCATTTTAAAATAGACTTCCCATAAAAACAACTCCAGCACATGTAGCCTCTGGGCCTGTTCTGCTCACAAAAATAAACAGCTTTGCTACCAACATGGAATAATCCCTTTGTTGCCAGAAGAGATTTGGCCTCCTAAGATGTACTCACTCTGTAGCAAATACACTTCTGCTTTCAGGGCTGTGATTGGTGGAAAATAACTCCCCCTGGAGAACGGTACTTTTCTAGAACTAGGTACTTGTTTTTAAAAAGTGTTGTTCCGTTTAGAAGACATTAATAGTTTTCATTAGAGGTGGGTTTTTTTTTTACGTTGCTAATTAGCAGAAAGGGTATTAATTTAGTAATACTATAAATATGACAATTATGTTAAACTAATCCAGAAAACACTACTTATCACCAAAGTTGGAAGAAGCATCTCAAAAGTGACCATCTCACTTTCTAGAAATACGAAGTTAAGTCACCTAGGGTGTCCCGTTACCCATCCTCGGTACAACTTCTCTCCCGCTGTAGTCCTAGGGCACATCTGACTAATCTTATGTCTCCCTCTCCCAGTCCGAACAATTAGGGGCTCGTATGCATTTACACGGGGAGTGCTTCGGGCTTCTTTTTGACTTTAAGTTCTGTGAATAAGAACCACTGTGCGAAGGGGTGAACGTGGGGAGTGTCAACAGGAGAGCAGTGGAAAATTTTATCTGTATTCTTATGCCTAATACCAGTCCCACATTCTTGGAGTTCCAAAAGAATAAAATTTATATTAAGTAGAAACATTGATGAAAAGGGCAGAAAGAGGGCTTCCCTGGTGGCGCAGTGGTTGGGAGTCCGCCTGCCGATGCAGGGGACGCGGGATCGTGCCCCGGTCCGGGAGGATCCCACATGCTACAGAGCGGCTGGGCCCGTGAGCCATGGCCGCTGAGCCTGCGCGTCCGGAGCCTGTGCTCCGCAAAGGGAGGGGCCCCAACAGTGAGAGGCGCGCGTACCGCAAAAAAAAAAAAAAAGGGTAGAAAGTGAAAGCCAAACAGCATAATGAAATTCAAGACTGCTTGGAAAAAATGCAGCCTAGACTGACTAGACAGTGTTGAGCTGCGCATACCAAACAGTCTTTTAGAAGCATGTGTTTTGCACTTTGCGGAGGATGAACGGGAGCTGTTTACAGCAGTTGTGGTTTGTGCTTCAGCCCCGGGGGGTGTCGTTCAACAGGATGAAAGGCCCGTGACGATTCAAGACACTTGGCGGCTGATCCACAGAGGACTGGGCCACACCACGAGGATCTCCCAGAGCGTCCTGATCGTTGAAGACTTTGAGATAGTTGACGCAGGTTATTACATTTGCACCGCTCAGAATCTCCGAGGACAGACCTCAGTAGCTACCACTGTGGAGTTTTCCTGACTTGGAAGATGAAGTACAAATGAATTGACGGAAAGCCCACTTGTGTACACAACCAGCTCCAGGGTTCTTTTGACTAGTGCTTTGCCAGAGGCTGATGTCGAGCGCCAAACCCCAGGCCCTGCCTTGTGAGTCAGACCCAGACCTCCAAACTAAAAGGAAGTCACCCGGTCTAATTATAGAAGTGTTAATTCTAGCAGAAAGCATGTATTCTGACTGCCGACCTACATATATGGGTTTCTAGTGTTTATACTAAGAAGGCATATATGTAAACAACTTTATATAATCATTTCTATTAAACGAGCAAGTTTTTGTAAAAAACAAAAAATGGGCTAAGTGCTCGTTTTTTAAGTTGGCTTGAAGTACATACAGAAGGATTTTTGGGCAGCAATGTCTGAGTCAATACCTAATATTCTCTTTGATATAACAACCACAAAATATGAGAATGTAAAAACAGAGTAATAATATAGTTCAACTATACAACATGAACTATTGTATGATATGAAGGTATCAAAAAATATGTAAACTTTTTAACCACTGCACTCAAAAGTACTAGTTCTAGATTAGACATTCTATAAGAACCACAGCATGTGTTTTTAAAAGGTTAACTTTTGATATAAAATAGATGCACAGATCAAGGAAGATTCAACTTTGTTTAGGCTTTTTTTTTTTTACCATCTTCAAAAATATTTAGACTGTAGCTGTTCCAATTTTCTTACCTTTCTTACAGCAGAACTTATTATTAAAACCAGTAAAAATTTATTTCTCAAATACACACAGCTTTGAATTTAGAAAAGAAAAGCTCTAAGTCTAGCTCTGTGAGCCAAATTTCAGCCCATGACCAGTTTTGTGGTTGCACTGGAAATTCCTGGGAAATAGGTTAAGAAGGAGACACGATGTCAATTCCTGTGCCGCTATAAACTGGGTAACACTTTGGAGGGTGAAGTATGTCAGAGGATGCAATTCTTCTATTGAATATTCCAGCATTATTTATTTGATCAAAGTAAAATACTTTCCATCACTACAAACTGAGCACAACTACAGTTGTTTACACATCCGTATTTTTATGACGTGCCAACATTTTGCATCCTAAGTGATAACATTTGGTTTGAAGATAATTTTACAGTTCCGTGTTTTGTTTCCTATCTTCTCTCCTGTTGTCTCCCATTCTCTGAAGACATTTTATATTAACTGTGTAAGGATCATTTCCCCAGACACCTAAATGGCATGGAGCACAGCAGGGAACAGCACGAGATTGACCATGTGCAGGGAAAGGATGGCAAACCCAACTTTGGCTAAGGACATTGAGAACAACTTGGAAAGGTGAGCAGAGAGATTCCAGGAGGTGGCAGTGAACCTATGTTCCCATTCATCAGAAACAAACGTGGAAGGTTACACACATAATCAACGGTTGGAGGTTAAAAACTTCAGACACAATCACTAGTAAAACAAAAACTAACAAAAAACCATGCATCATGAATATCAATCTGCTTTGTAGTGTACACGTAAATGTCAACTCAAAGGTCCACCTCTAGTAGCCTGAATCTGTTCTTACTACAGCGCTTATCTGTACAGCCATCGAACATCAGTAATGCTGATTAGTAAATACAGCACAAGCTTGACACATGCAGGGAGAAAGAAAAAAGCCACAGTTCTTCCTTCCACCTCCCCCAAAGTCTCAGAAGTGGGGGAGGTAATAAGTGAAGTTTTGAAAGGAAATTGAAATGCAAATTGAGAAGAACTGTACAAGCCACATTCTTCTCTCATCAGCTGGTCATTCTGCTACCTTCCCAAGGACAGAAGGACTCCTCAAAGGTACGTGGAAGTTTAGCATTATCTCCAGAGACTGTTTTGTTCTATTATCAAGGTGCTCATGTTCCTCCATAAGCACTGAGTCCTATCTTTCTTAGTTCTGCGAGCCAATGACTCCTTTTCATTCTTTAATCTCTCTAGGATTTCCCAAAATTTATACTGTCGGATCCAGGCCTTGGTTTATTTGGAAAGTGGTTCAGCACCTTGAAGATGAGCTGGCTCTGGAAAAGCACATTCCTTGTCCCAGAGAAAAAGTAGGAAGGAGGTAGAAGGTTTGCTTTTGTGGCTCTGGATGGGGGAGAAAGGAGAGGGGGGAATGGGGATAGTGGGAGAGAAGCGGCCAGTTGAAATCACTGAGGATAGCTCAGATCAAGATAAAAATAAGGCAGAAAGCAATCCATGGGTACTGCCCTTTCTTCATACACACTTTTTTAAAAGCAAAATTAGGGTTCTACATTTGCTCATAGCCTGAGAAAATGGGTTGTAGTATTTTACATCCACATGGGTAAGTTTAAAAAGTCTAGCTAGTTTCAACTGACATGGCTGAACACTGAAAGGCTGCCAACAAGTTACTCTGAAAGGATGCAAAGCATGAACAGACGCGGGCAAGTCAGAGCTCTTTCTGTCTCTCCCTCTCCCCCCCATGGCAAAGGGCTGAGCAGGGTTGGTGGTAAAGAATTCTAGTTCTAGCAACTACTGCTCTTTCTTCTATGGCTTTTGCAGAGATGCATACACTGACTATTTAATTAGCACATCTCTAGACAGACTCAGCAAAGGAGGCAGCATCAGACACATGACACTCGGTTACATCCACTTCATTCACACATCCCCAGTCAGACCAAAATGTAAATCACAAGAAGGTGTCTGTGGTGAAGAACATTACAAAGGTTATATAAATCTTTATCTTAACAGGCCCCTGAGAGTTTTCCCCTTTATGCGTAGGTGAAAAAGGCAACGAACAAGATCTTCTCGTTCCGTAAGTGCTTTGTGCAACAGCGTCCACGTAGATCCATTCCGACAGCATCGTTTGGGGAGGAGTCTCCTGGACCGAGTCGGACGTCTTCCTCCAGAGTTCTGGTCTTGTCTGGAAGGGGCCGGTTCGGGCCATGACTTTCCAGTTCTAGGACAGGCTGTGCGTGTCAGCGAAGGTGGCTCCAGCCCCGCCCCCTGCCCCCACGATTGTGGGTGGGTCAGTACTGCAGAAACGCAGTCTGTCTCCAGCTCCCAGGAAGGTCATCTGGGCGAGATGCTGGGGCTGGGGAAGGAGCCGGAGTTCCGCGGCGACTGGAAGGGGATGGCGGGTGACGTGGGGGACCTCTTGGGGCTGCACAGGTCCCCGTTGTGCAGCTTCCACAGCAGCTCCTCGTTCTCCATGGAGAGGCGCTTGTTGACTTTGGACTCCTTCTCCAGCGACTCCTGCAAGACGGCCTGCTCCGTGGAAAGTTGCCTGGAAGACAAAAAAAAAAAAAAAAAAAAGCCAGAAATCCTGTGACTCTGATTGCTTCTTTCTTTTTTTTAAAGGTTGAAAAAAATCTTACTATTTTAAAGTTGAGAGCCCCAAATGATCTCTTTGGAATAAAAGGAGCTACCGTGCATGGGTACTGGGCTGGCAGAGAAACCCGGGAAGTGTGACCTAGAGCCAAAGAAAAAGCTGCACTTTGGGGCAATTTCATAGTAGGGTGAGTGACGCTCCCACAGCTATACTGCATGTCTTAAGACCCTCCTATGTGTGGGGCTGTTTCCTGTTTGGTCTGGTGGTGGTCCTTCTCTGAAAGGGAAGGGAAGGCTTGCCCGCTGAGGACTCAGCCTTTGGTCCAGGCCACTGTGGTAAAGGCACTAAACGCTACAATCGTATTTTTCCGGATAGAAATCAGAACCTCGTTAACTACCCGCTGCTGTTGCATTTCCAGGAGGGGCATGGGTGGAGTGTGGTGAGAAAGTAACACTCGATGTTTCAGGAAGGGAGGAGCTCAGGGAAAATAGGACAGTTTTATTTTTACCTTGAAATTGCCATGTGCTTGTCCATCCGAGCTTTTAATTCTTCATTCTCCTGCTGGAATCGCTTCAGTTTGTCCACCAGTGCTGTGTTGTTGTCCACCTTGGTGTCAACAAGAGTACCAACATTTATACATTAAAAATTACATAAAGCCCCTTATTTCCCTAAGGTACCTTCCTGACACCGGCACACACTGGAGAGATTTCATTCGGGAGAGTTTAATGGTATGTTGACTGTCTCTACACTGACGCACTGCAAAAAGAATCTACTGCAGCAAAACAGAGCACGTGGATATTGCTTTTTAAAGGTATGCCAGGCCACTTGAAAATGGACAAACCCAGGGGGTTCGTGATTTGTTCAAGTTCACATTGTTTCAGAATTCCCAAGAATTGGTGCCCTGCCTTCGGCAACCCTCGGGGGCCGTGCCTCTTTCAGGTTCAAGGTGATAAACACTGGCTACCTAGCGGCCGTTTTCTTTATCAGAGGCACCGCAGCTTCTTACGGTAAATTCTGAAAGAAAAAAAAAATCCCACGTTTGATGAAAATTCAGTTCGTGGCAATGTTTAATATGACTTTAATCATGGTCTCCCGGTTACTCTTCAGCGTTTACCTCCGAGTGGTCACATAAGGCAATCCACAAAGCTCTGTAGAGCCTTAAAATCAACAAGTGACACTACAGAAAGCATTCCTCCTTGGTGGAACTAAAGATACGTTTGTTTGCCTAGGGCTTGCCCAGGCTAAACTTTCAAGGAAAACAAGCTGATCAGTTGAGAGAGTGAAGGATAAAAGCCCAGAAGACGTCGAATCAGTTAACACGATGAACTGCCAGTTACATCCCTGCTTAGTTTCTAAAGGTAAGATTTGATTACTTGCTCGGAGGCGACATCACAGCTCTAAGTCCCTGTCACTGCTGCCCGTGACTAAGCGACTGTCACTCTGGCTCTTAGTTTGCAGTCCTACTGTTCTTAACATCTTATTATCCAGGAAAAGCTTAGGACAAGCCAACCAAGTGAAATATCCAAAACAAATGTGACGAGCGTGCAAGGAAAAGTGGGCACTGGAATTTCCAGGAAGTATAAAGGAATTCAAGATAAAAACATGAGGTGGGGAAATCTGGAATTAAAGACTGTGGGTAGGAATTAGCCTTAAAATATTAATCTCATCCAATTCCTCATTTTACTGGAGAGGAAACTAGCCCTGGAATTTCACTCTTAGAGCTAATTATCAGCGGAGCTAGTTTTTACACTGAGAAAGCCTCCTTGCTTTCTAAGTGGCTTATTTTCAATAAAGGCCTGGAGCTTACAAATAAACAAGGTAACAGTGGGTTTACCTGTCTGTCCTTGTATTAACCCCTTCTTCTGCATATACACCATGCCATGCTGACTAATCTCTTGGGCATGGCAAGGGACAGAAATACTTGCGGATCAACAAAGATCAAGACCTATGAGTAATTTTACAGCAGAGTCTGTTCTTACTGCACATGATGGTTTGAAGAGTTTTGATGTGTGCATGGCATATAGGGCAACCAATCATTAACAGGATTACCTGAGTCACTGTTGATGGCCACATTGGCAGTCATGAGACCTGATACAACAGGATGACCTTTGGCAGGAACTGGTGTATATACTAGGTTGGGCCCATTAATAGACCATGAGTTCTTTCCTTCCTTTACAAAAACAAAACTTCCTGGTCATTCAAAGTGCCCATCTATCCACCTGGGGGCTTAGCTCTTACCTCCCTTGATAGGTAATAGTCTCTAGAAGAAAACCAAACACCAAAAACCAAACAAACAAACTAATGCTGAGTGACTTCCATGCTCCCTACTGTCCAGGGCTGGTTTGGGTTTGAATTGAGGTACTTACTCAACACTGAATTGCCCATAATTACGGGGAGAAGGGACAAAGCAATGCGAGGGGCCTGGCACAGTCAAAAGTGGTGTACAAAGTACAGCACTGGCTGGGAACACCTATGCTGCCGCGGCAAACCCTGCAGGCTTGGCTAGACTCCTGGCTCTTAGCAGTCATGTTCCAGGGCTGGACGAAGGCTCACAGGGCACTGGGCTCACTGCTCACACACGCAGTCCTGGATGGACTCGTCACATGCTAACGTCCGTTCTGCCCTAGAGGCTGTAAACTAAACTTTATTCATATTTTGCATAGTGCTGGCTACTTGTACAACCAGATTAATTTTATAAAAGGGCAATTCTTTTATCACAGTCTAATTCACATGAAGCAAGATGAAGAATTTAGATAGCAAGATTCAATTGCTCTGATGGAATTAATTTATGTACTCAACAGTTTTGAGCAAAAGAAACCCACCCAGAGGTGGTAGCGTATTAAAGGACAGCTTTTACATTATTTAAAAATTCTTCTTATGCAGGTGGATATTCCCAGACCACTGAAACGGGAGACACTCGTGAGTTGTCATTTTTCCCAACACTGAATGCTACCTTTTATACGTTCCTTGAAAAAAATGTTCTAGAAGGTAGCAATGAATAAGCCTTAAGCTGACATGGAAAAGAAGATTTAACCTCTTCTACCTCTCCTATGTTTCCTATCTTTAAATAGCAATTAAGACAATGCCACAGGTCTAGTTCAGAGGCCAGTTCCTGTGCCTCAGGTATTACCCCGTTTAAGGTTCTGAATGAAATGTACCAGTTTCTCCATTTTCATTAACTTGATGTCCTGTTGGTGTAGCTTCTCATTCTTGATGTCTAAAACAGCTTTCAGGCTTTCTAACTCTTGCTCCAGATACATGATCTGAGGGTTTTTCTGGAAAACACACAGCAGGATATGGCTGTGACTGATCATTTAACACAATCACATGGTTCAAACTCTTAATATAAAGACTTTGATTAGATTTAGAAATTAAACAAGTAGCAAGAGACATCAACCTTCTTACGGCAGTTTCAAAGAAAGGTGAAAAGAAGGGTTAAGACATCTTTAACTTCAAAGTCTTTGGTCTTAATGAAATAAAACATTTCACATTTGAAAACAAACCCTTCCCTCACGTATCAGTAACTTAACATGGAAAAAACATTGGTAGCACCAAATATTTTACTGGAAGTAAGACAAAAACCACAGCTTACAACACAAAACAGAACTCTGGCTAGAGAGTACGCAATTCCAAGTCCTGGCCAGGTGTTTGGGGGGAGAAAGGGAACAATAGTTCTCTCTATCCAAAGTCAGTAACTCATGAGGGATGAACAGGCAGCGTGTTTATTGGGCTCTCTGGAAAACGAGGAATGGCAATCACGTGCTGAGTCTTTTGGACGTTCGCTATGACGGGACTAGGTTAGCCTGGCCATACTTCTAGAGCAGGATTAACACCCCATCATTTTGTGACACCCGAACACCTACATGGCATAGAGCACGTGCACTGTGAAAATTCTATGCAAGATAAACACTATGTAAGGGGAGATCATCCTCTGAGAGCACGAGACCAGGGTGGATTCCCCAACTCCTTGCTTTAATTATTGAAATTCAAGTGAACCTTCCAAAATGCACGACACAAGTTAAAGGCACAAAATCTATTGATCTGGTGTTCAGCGAGGGAATTTCTCAGACAAGAGTCAGTGGTGTCGATCATCAAACCTATCCTCCTGGACAGTGGTTAACGCTCTGGAGCAACCCTTAGGGAGAATCAGGGAAGGTGCCCTTGGGGATCACTTAAACGCCTCACTTCGCAGAAGGAGACAGAATTGCACAGCTCAAGTGACCTACCTGCTCAGGGCCCAAAAGTGCTGGGGTGGGGACCAACCCCTGATCCTCAACTCCAGGGCCCTTCCAGAAACTTCCTACATTTCATATACTGTTATCCTTTTACACATGATTTTTTTAAACCATGAAGAGAGCAAATCCCATGTTGCTGATTTTTAAAGTCAGAGTGCATGCAGCCTCGTTCCCACGGCACCTTTCCTACTTCTCTGCCACCTGGCCCTTTCTCCCTCACTCTCATACACGCTCTTTTCCCACACCCTGGGCAGGCTTAGGTGGGGTAAGGCATGAGATAGTCCTGCTTTCCTCAACCTGTTTCCCTTCTGAACTTTTTCAGGAGCTGCTGCAGGATCAGGAAGCTCTTTAAAAGCGTTCCCTGAACCACTCATAAGAGTTACACCCTGCGTGTGAAGTCTACAGATTTCTTTTGCAATCGAATTTTTCTAAGAATCTTCCAGAATAAGTAGCTTTGAAATTTCATTGAATAGGATCTCATCCACTTGCATGCAAATGTCTGGAGGGTCTCTCAATGACATATCAGCAGAAGAGCTCACTGAGGGACCCAGGTACTTCGAGAGTTGCGACAGGTCTTAAGTGGCACAAAAGCTCTGCTTCTGCAGCCCCAGACACAAATACATGGAATGAAAAGACAGAAGCAGCCCACCCCCCCCGCAAAAAAAAAAAAGAAGTTGGGGGGATGCAGAGGAGTAAGAATACAAGTTGCAAGAGAAAGTTGAGTTTACCAGAGAAATTTGTAGTTTTCAAAAGTGAGGACTGGACTTCCCCGATGGTGCAGTGGTTAAGAATCCGCCTTCCAATGCAGGGGACATGGGTTCGATCCCTGGTCCAGGAAGATCCCACATGCCACGGAGCAACTAAGCCTGTGTGCTTAGCCCACAACTACTGAGCCCGCATGCCATAACTACTGAAGCCTGTGCGCCTAGAGCCCGTGCTCCACAACAAGAGACGCCACCGCAATGAGAAGGCCACGCATGGCAAGGAAGAGTAGCCCCCGCTCGCCGCAACTAGAGAAAGCCTGCACGCAGCAACAAAGACCCAACACAGCCATCCATAAATAAATAACTTTTAAAAAGTGAGGATTATCCATACAATGAAATATTGTTCAGCCATAAAAAGGAATGAAATGTCTGTACCTGCTACAATATGCACGAACCTTGAGAACATAAGCTGAGGGAAAGAAGCTGACACAAAAAGCTGCATATAGCACAATTTCATGTCGATGAAATCTCTAGAACAGGTACATGGATAGAAACAGAAAGGAGACTGGTGATCCCGTAGGGCTAGGGAGTTTGGGGGGGGAAATGGGGAATGACTGCTAAAGGGTACAGGGTGTCTTTTGGGGGCGGGTGATAAAAGTGTTCTGTAATTAGATCCTAGTGACCAAGGTATAACTTGTGAACTGCTGAATTGTATATTTTAGAAGGGTGAATATCGTGGTATGTAAATTATATAGCAAGTTAACTAAAAAATGAAGTCTTTACATAAAACCCTGACCCTAATTGATAGTTTTCCTGTCTTCCTATAGGTATTAGCTTAGATCACTTGCAATATATTGGATTTCAGCTGTTATGTCAGTTTTTAGAATTAAAAAGACACCAGTAACCAAAGCAGCCACTTTATACAGTTTAAAAATCATACTGCAAGATATGAAAAAGATTCCAAACCCATACTCTTTCTCTAGCTGCTGAACACTTAACTGACTCTAAAAGACAGCTAAGCAGAAGAAAAATTCATTAGTGATGGGGGAGCATATGCAACTTACTAAATTTGCTTTCTCTCTTGATATTCTTTTTTGTTCTTCTGATTTCAACTTTTCATTTAAAGTGTCATTTTCACTCTTCAAACCATTGATTTGTTTCTAAAACACAAACAGTGAAATGTGGAATGTAAGTAAACAAGCGGGCACCAGAAACACTGCAAATGTGCACAGAAACGTACCCAAACCATACAAGCGTCAAGAATGATGATGGGAAGGTGGGCAGGAGCGGTGGTGGTGGTTGCGATTTACCTACCTCTAGTGACTCCTGCTTCTCGTAAAGCAAATCCTCAAGTGATTTCTTTTCCATTTCATGGCTTTTCTTGATCTCTGGAAGTGATATGTTTTTGAGTCAATAACATCCTACGAGATCACTGTATTCTACAGTCATTATAGCACATGGATGCAACAGTTGATCAGGAGGCGCTGCGCCTACATTACTTTATATTTGTATGGCACTGTTGTAGAAATTAAACGACTTGTTCTCAAATTAGCCCATGAGGTGAGTAGGGCAGATAATTCCCATTTTATAAATGAGAATACAGAGGCCCA